CCACGCAGCAGTCCAGAGTGACTTCTAGAAATGTAGGTCAAATAATGTCACCCCGTTTAAGACCCGCCAGTGGCCCCCGTGCAGGCAGGATAAACCGCACGGCGCCCTCCCCTGCCGCCTGCCCGGCCCTCTCACCTCGCCCAGCCCCTCAGGCACCCCTCCCCCCAGGGCACACACCGAACTGGTTTCTGAATCCTGATAGAGGAATCATTCCTTCCCAAATTCTCCTTGGGTGCCCCACATAAAACCCGGGCCCCATGGGACCCCAAGGCTGGTTCTTTGGTTCTTTGCCACTAACCAGACTGGGTCCCTGGAGGGCCCAGCCGCTCAGTCCGGTCACAGCACACCTCACGCCGCCTTCTCTCAGGGAAAAGAAGGCTCTGCCCTGGGCCTCAGGAAGGAGTGACCGGTGCCCTAGCCCCTTGGGTCCCCACGAAGTCTCCCAACCCCAGGCACTGGCCACATCAGCACAGCCCTTTGGCAGGATGACTTGGCCAGGCTGGGGACAGTGTCCCAGTGAATTAAGCAAGAACAAGACCTAAATAGAGTCCAGGGCCGTCGTCTTCAGATGCCAGGCCTGCCCTGCTGTATCCAGCACCCAGGACAGCCACAGGCACTTTCCTCCACAGAGGCGTCCGGGAAGGGGCAACTCTGTCTGCCCCGCGGACAGGACAGTTCCAGACCTCTCCCAGCACCCTGCGGCCAGAGCCAGGGGGCCCCGTGCACCCCCGCCCCTGCAGTGAGAGGCAGCTGCTGGCCTCTGGTTCCTTGGGGTGGGGTCTCCTGTGCCCCACCCAGACGGCAGCAAGGAGGGCCTGACTCGTCCACACCTGAGGGAGAGGCGGGGCCGAGCCAGACCCTGGGCTGGACGCCCAGCAAACAGCCCTTCCGCCAGCACACGACAGGCCCCTCCACTGGGCTCAACCAAGACAAGTGCCATCACCTCGGGGGTCCCCTCCTGTCAAGACAGGCTGCGACGCCTGCCTCTGGGGCTCCCCCGTGTGCGGAAACGCCTCTTCCTGCAAAGGACAGCTCCCCTACACACCGCCCTCGTTTGTGGGGCCAAGTGCTGTCCAGCCAGGGGCGAGGAGCACGGGCCCTGTGTCCTGGTCCCCCACTTACTGCCCACGGTGTCCGGGTAGGCTACGTAACTGCCCTGGGCCTTGGTTTCCATGTCTGTGCGAGGAGAGGCGTTGTTGAGAGCACGAAATCATGAGCACGTTTAAGACCTTCGGTTCCAATCATTTCTACGGCTCTCATCCCACTTCGGGGAGACAGAAGCAGGGGGTGCGGGAGCCGGGCAAGCGCTCTCGAGTCTCGGAGAACTGGCACCAGCCTCCTGACCCTTCGTGTGTAGGGCCTTCCCGACGACATGCGGGCATCTGGGGCGACAGGCCCCTGGCCCCTGACCCAGCCTCTGGGGAGACCAGTGGAAGAGCGCTGGCCAGGAGAGCCCAGCCTGAGTCCCACGTGCTGTGGCACTGATGACCCAGGACGGATGACTTAGCCTCCAGGTCACACCCTCTCTTTGGGAACTCCCCTCCAGAGTCCCTGATCCCAGGAATGTCAACCCAATGCGTGTCCCCTCCACTGTCTTGTTATGTGGCCACACTGGAGACCCTTACAAGGAACCATACGAGCCCAAAAAAGCGTTTACTAATGAATTGTTATCATTCACTGTTTGGCAAAAGGAAGATCTCTTATCGTATGAAACATACCGGCAAAACAATCGTGCGCCCTATCAGGACTGCTTTCATAGGACTTCACCTGCGAAGCTGCACTGTGCCCTTGCTGGTGGCGCCCCGCCTGAAAGAGGGGGTGCTGCTGGAGCCGGCCCCGGGCGCTGAGGTGCTCCGCGGGCTGGGGGGGCAGAGTCCTGACAGCTTCCTGGAAGCCCGTGTTCTCTCGCCCTTGGGCCTTTGCCCACACCATTCCCTCTGCCTGGAACACCCCCTCCCAGCTCTGCCCACACACCCAGCCAACTCCTTCTGCTCCTCACACCCCAGTTGGCAAGCTGCTTCCTCCAGGAAGTCTTCCCTGACTCTGCCAGTTCGAGTCGGTTTGTAATGGTTCACCTTTTCTGGATCTCCCAGGGGAAGAGCCCCATGGGCAGAAGGGCCAGGTCTGTCTTCTTCCCTGCCATGTCCCCAGGACCGAGAATGGTGTCTGCCACAGCGCTGGTTCTCCACGGACATTTAGTGACGAAATGCCTGAGGCGGGCAGAGGCCTGGGACACAGCCTTCACCCACACGGCTTTGGCATTCGACAGCTACCAGTCCACGCCCTAGCTGGGCCTCTTCTCCTGGCTGGGGCAGTCCAGGGTCAGGACCCTCACAGCAATCTTGGGGAAAAGGATCCTGTCCGATCCCAGGAAAGGGGACACTACAGTGACCGACAGAGTGACCCCGCCCCGCGGCAGGCAGCGCCCTGGGCTCTCCCTCAGTACCCAGGGTCCCTGAGAACCGGTCCTTTACCTCCATGCTACCGATGAGAAACCACCAGAGCATCGTGGGCTTTTTCTGAGGGCTGACAGGCCCCACACTGCTGGCGGTGCCTGCTATGACCCGAAGACAAGTGATCCGGGGCCCCCGCCCCCAACAACCGCAGTCTGAGAGGGGCAGCAATGCAGCCCTGAGTTGGGGGGACCTCGGGAAGTGCCAGGATGGGGGCGTGACTCAGAGTTGTGAGCCCCACAGAAGAGGTCCTGGCACTGCCCCTCCAGGCACCCCCTCCCCGCCCCCGTCTCCCCCCGCCCCCCCGCAGCCTGTTGGCCCCCCGCCACCCTCCTGGGAAACCTCCAGGCTCGGCAGCGAGCAGGCCACATGTTTGCAAGCCAAGTCCTCTCTCCTTTGTTCTCCCTCCCAGGGACTGGCTGTAATCAGTCAGAGCCAAAGGCCAAGAAAGCCCTGGAGAAAGCAGAACCCCTCCCCCGCACCCCTCCCTCCCACCCCAGCTCACAGTAATCCCAGCAGGACAGACCTCGGCTCCTGCCCTTGGGGGCTCCTGCCCTTGGGGACGGCCTGTCCGTGAGCAGGTCACCAAATGAGTTTCAGCAGATTAGCTCAAGGGCTCACCACTTTCCAGAATTGTTTTAAATTGCTCTCTGGAGGGCGGGGACAGTCACCAGCCCCTCTGGGCTTCGGGGAACCTTACAGCTTCTGAGCTTACAGCTGCAGAAATGAACCAGCAGTCCTGGAACCCCCTGTCCCCAAACCATACCAAACCTTTTCAACTCAAAAGAGGGACCTCCCCAAAAGAAACAAAGGCCACAGGGCAACCCAAGTGTTCTCATCACAGGGTGCAGTTAAGAGGTTTCTTTTACACACTCGAGTTAGGACCTTCTCCGTGAAGATGGCTGTAAACCAACAGTCAGGGCTACTGTGCCCCCCGTGCCCCCTCGGCACTGGGCACTGCCAGACTGCAGGGCGGAACAGAACAGCGATGGAGGGGGACCCAGGCTCAGGAGAGGTCACAATGCCTTCTCTCTGGGCCTCAGTGTCCTCACCTATAAAATACGGGGATCTCCGGGTCCCCTTCATGTGGCCCCACTCTGAACTGCTCTCCGGCCGAACTTCACTCCAGCCAGCGGCCACCTGAATGCCCCCCACCACCACCTGCCCAGCTCCTGCCCAACCACCATCTCCTCCAAGATGCCTCCTATGAGTTCCGGGAAGTCAGGATGGCTCTCTGTTACCGCGGAGCCCTGCACCTCCCTGTGCCATCTCCCCTGTGAAATGTGCCCAGGACATGCCCAGGAAGGACCTGGCACCCACAACAGCCGGAGCTCCACAAAGTCTGCGGCAGCCAGCCAGCAAGAGACTCCTGCTGAGCATCCGCCCTCAGCCTCTCCTTGAATCCCAGGCCAGCAGAGCTGGGACGAATGACCTTTTGACCAAGGATGAGGGTGGTGGGTCACCTAAGAGTTAAAGGAAACTCAACAAACTCAGAGATAAAGAATCCGGGATTCTGAGGATGGGCCGGTGACCTTTTGAAAAAGTTGGAGGGTGGTCACCGGAGAGTTAACAGAAACTGGCTAAGCAGGAGATGAGGAACCTGGAATTCGGAGGGTGGAGTGGCCAACGGTCTGAGCCTGACTACAGCAGGAACAAAGCCTCCAGCAGGCAGCCTGGCTAGTAACTGATAAGCCACAGTCAGCCAGAGGTCAGAGGTCATGGCTCTGATCAGAAGGCCTCGTGGTCACCCCCCAGGATCTAGGCTTTGAGGATTAAAGGCAAAAGGAGGGCACAGCTGGGTGCTCCCCATCCCCCCGAGGTCAGTCCTAGGTGGTGGGGGGTGCTCTGGGCCCGGGGTCTTCTGGTGGAGACTCCATCCCTTTTGCCTTCGGGTGGGTTTGGAAGTGGCCTGTCCCCAGTCCCCGCCGCGTGCGGATACTGGCAGAACGTTTGGGGGCCTGTGTCCAAGGAGGGCAGGCAGGGTTCCCCACACACAGCCATCAGCCGGGCACCTCAGACCGCTCCCTTCCTTTCTGGCTTTCCAGGTCCGGCCCCTGCCCAACAACAGGTTTTGTCTGCAGGACGAATTCCTGTCCCCCGTTCCCAGTTCCCAGTCTTCTCACCAGCAAACTGGGGACAACAACCCTGACCCAGAGCGGCGGTGGGTGCAGCGTGAAGCCAGGCCAGGGGCACTCCTGGGGCAGAGCCTGGCCTGGGGCTGGGCAGGCCGCCCTTCTCTCCCACACTGCACCTTGGCCCGGTGGCGGGCGGGCACTGGTGGGCAACACGGCCTGCGGGAGGTGTTTCAGGGGGGCCCGTCTTTAAAACAAGCCCCAGGAACCAGCAAGGTGATTAGGGCCCGAGCTGGGGAGCGGGGTGTGGGGGAGGGTACGTCGCCCGGGCGGCCAGGCCGCGGGGCCCAGCGGACGGCGCACCGGTTCCGAGGGCCGGCGGCTCCCGGGGCTCGGCCTCCCGGGAGCGCGGGCTGGGTGGCGGGAAGGCGCCGGGCCCCGCGGCCCCGCCCCTGCCCCTGCCCCTGCCCCCTACCTGGGGCCGCCAGCAGCGCGAGGCCGGCGAGCAGCAGCAGCGGCAGCGGGGCCGGGCGCGGGGGCGCAGCGCGCTCCATGGGCGGGCGGCGGGCGGCGGGGCGAACAAAGGCGCGGAGCGCAGGTCGCGGCTCCTCGACGGGTGCGCGGCGCGGGGACAGACCGGGATCCACGTTCCGGCAGAGCCTCGGCAGCCAACGCTGGGCCCCGCGGCGCCGTTCAATTATCCCGCCCCGGAGGGGGGCGTGGGGAGGGCGCGGCGGAGGCGGGGCCGCGGGGCGCCCGATCCCCCGCCCTCCCAGGCCGGCCCCTTGGTCGCCTGGGGCCCCTTCTCCCAGCACCTGGTGCCGAGGGGCGCGCAGGCCCTCGGCTGGGGGTGGGAGCGAGGACCCCAAACTTCTCTCTAGTGGGGCCAGAGAGGGGGACCCATTCGGGAAGGAGACGCCCCCCACCCCGCGCGAGCCCGTGAAACTCGATCCCCTCCCCACCCGCCGGCCGAGGGACGGGCTCGGTATCAAAGGTTAGCTCTGCGCCTCCGCGGAAGGGCGTGGTCCCCGAGGGTCGGGGGCGCCTTTTCGGGGAGGGAATAGGGCAGTGTTCACTGGGGGCTCCCGCAGACGTAGCCCCGCGCTGTCGGCTCGGTTCCTGCGCCGTCGGCTCGGTTCCTGCGCCCAGCCTCCCTGTGCGCGGATGGCCGGAGGTCCGCAGGTCAGTGGCTGACCCCAGCCAGGTGGTCCCGCCCTGGGACTGCCCATCAGGACTGGCGGACAGACTCCAGCAACATCCCCACACAGGTGGAACATGATGAACCCGGGAGCAGAAGGCCAGGAGGAAGACTGGCGTGCAGGAGAGGAATCAGCCTTGGAGCTGGGCCTGCAGGGGCCACTCCTTTGTGTAGGATCCTGGCCAACGGCGAGTCTGCCGGAAGCACAAATAGACCTGCTTATAACACAAACTGCCCTGGCCGGGTTGGCTCAGCGGTTAGAGCATCGGCGGGGACCGAAGAGTCTGGAATTCAATTCCCATCAAGGGCACGTACCTCGGTTGCAGTTGACTCCCCGGCCCTGGTTGGGGTTGGCCCTGGTTGGGGTCCTGTGGGAGGCAAGTCGATGTCCCTCTCTCTCTCTCTCTCTCTCTTTCCCTCCCTCACACTCTATCTGAAGATAAAATAAACAAACAAATAGGAAATGAATGCAGTGAAGACCCGGGGTAATGGGGTGAGACCGCACAAGATTTAGCCGAATGCGTGGCTCCCCGGAGCCGGCTAGAAGGCACTGTGTGTGCGTGCACGGGACAGAGTCAGGCCTGTCCCCAGGGCAGGGCAGCACGGCTGCTCACGGACAGTGCCCACGGCCACACGCAGCAGAAGGAAACAGTGGGGTAGTCACACTGGACAGAGCAGAGCAGAGCCGACTTTGTGGGCACCTTTGCCAGTTCGACGTGGAGTCACTGTCAGCCATGACAGTTTGTCAAGCTGTGTCAAGACTGGTGTCCTGGCCTGTGGGCTCAGCAGTTAGAGCACAGGCCTGTGGAGCTGCGGGTTCGATTCCAGTCAAGGGCATGTACCTCGGTTGGGGTTCGGTCCCCGGCCCTGGTTGCGGTCCTGCAGGAGGCAGCCAGTACATGTGTCTCTCTTGCATCGATGTTGCTCTCTCTGTCTCTCTCTCTCTCCCTCCCTCCCCCTTCCATTCTATCTGAAGATGAATGGGAAAAAATGTTTTTTAAAAAGACTGAGGTGAGGTCATAGGGTGTGATAGGAACACCCAAAACTGCAAGTCTGGACACTCAGATAAGGACGCCATCTGGTCACTATATGAGTGGGACCCCACCCTGGTGGGCTGTGAGAACCCAGTGCTGGAGCTGGGCTGCACCCCGGGTCACACGGGGGGCCCTGCTGGACTTCCACCCCGCCAAATGGTGCCGCTGCGGCAGCCTCCTAACGAGACAGGTGCCCACCTCTGCACGGGGACCCGCCAGTGACCAGGACCGCACATGGGATGCTCGGTCTGCTCATTTCTGTCACCTCCGCTCCCCTCTCTGTGTGACCTGTGGGTGACAGCATGTGTGAATGACTTTTTTGGGGGGGAAGCTCCCCTGCTCACAACACGCACCTTGGAGCACTTCACAACCCTGAAAACGGCAGCGACAGGCTGGCTGTCAGGGACATCGTGTAGCAACAGAGAAACATGAAAAGACACTTGGTGAGTGATTCTGCCTCTCTGAAGGACAAGGACAAGTCGGGAGAATGGTGACCTTGGGGTGGGTTGGTGGCTGGCACAGGAAGCTCGCTGGGGGCTGGTTAGGATCTGGTTATAACTCTGAGTATTGGTTACCATTTGGTTCCATTTGTGAAAGAAAGTTCATGGAGCTGATCACTTGGGACATGTGCCCTTTTCTGAATGCACGTTAGGTTTAAAAATCAAAAGCAAAAAGACAAACAACTCATCTCCCCCACAGGATGCCTCATACAGTTGAGGTTTGCGGAGGGTTCCAGAAGGTTCATGAACGGGGCCTGCTTGCTAGCGGCCTCCAGGGTGAAGGAGGCTTCCAGGAAGAGGTGACTTGGACTAGCCCCTGGATGGCGGGCAGAGGGTGGAAGGGTTTCCTGGGCAGAGGGAACAGCATCTGCAAAGGAAGGAGGCACCAGAGACCCTGGGCAGCTCGGTCCATTTGGATTGGATGGACTGGGGTGCCTGAGGCACATGGATGGTGAGGTCCTGTAGGCGGTTGGATACAGGATGGGTGGGGAGCTCTGAGCTGGAGACAAAGACTCGTTTGGTATTAAGTTGATTTTTTTAATCCATGGGACAATAAGGGTGCCCTGGAAAGAAGTTACAGTGCCAGAGAAGGTGCAGTCCATGCCCAGACATTATTTCCTTAATACTCAGCTCCAGGAGGCTTTAGTGACCCCCTTTCTGCTGGCGAGGAAACCAGGGCGCAGAGAGGTGAGCTCACTGGTCAGATTCTCAGGCCTACTGATCGGCCATGCTGGGATTCGAATCCAGGACAGGGACTCCCCATGCCAGGCTCGTCAGAGAGCGGCTCTCTGTGGAGGGTTCTGTTCGCCACTGAACACATCATGCAAACATTTCCCCATCTGATTAGAGATCGACATTGCACAGCTAGTGGGTGAAGGGTATGGAAGGTGCACCCAGGTTCACTGAACGACCGTCCTCTCATCGGATGCTGAGGTCGGTGACATCTGGGGGGTTGTCAATTGCGCAGCGGTGAAAACTGGGTGCTCTGGTTCCGCCCCCAGCCTGGGTATACCCGAAGAGCAATTGCTGCCCAGAAACGGACCCGTTCCCAGCCCTACAGAGGCACGAGCTGAGCCAGGGCTCCTGCCTCCTCTCCGGCTTGGAGCAACATCTTGGTTTAATCTGGGCTATTTCCATGGGCGGCCTGTGGCTCCAGAGTGTCTTTAATCATCACCGAGGCTGAACATTCTTCATGTGCTTATGAGCCTTTTGTGTTTCTTTTCCTGACTTCTTTCATAACCTGCGCTCATTTATTTCTGTAATAACAGAACTGTTGATTACAGTGGAATGTGGAGCCGACGCCGTGTCCAGCAACAGCCTGGCCACGGTCCGTGCGCTTGGATGCAGCGGTGGCAGTTTTCAGTGGCTCCGTGGACAAGGAGGCCTAAGTCGAAACACGATCTTCGTGAACCAATATTATGTGAAAAACAAGAAAGAAAACAAAATTGCATGTGGACACGGGGGCCACACAGAAATTACTGTAAGAGCCGTATTCGTGCAAGGAAAGAGCAAAAGGACCTAAATGAAATTCAGTGGGTGTTGTGTTTGGTGAAATTTTATTTTTATTCTATGGGGTTTTTTTAGAAAACAGTTGAGACCGGGAGTAAGTATACCAGAAACGTGGAGTGATACACTTCCTACATCTAAACTGACCCTGAGTTTCTTGACAACCAAAGTAAAAATCAAAGTATGATCCCTTATGCGGCTCCTGTTTTCTGACTGTTCTGTCAGGAGACACCAGGCTCTTTCTGGCGCTTTGTTTAACCACTTCCCTCCGCTTCTCTATGCAGAAGAGTCACGAAACGAAGCCAGCACATTTGCTTGGAGTTTGCAGAAGATGGGCCTGGTGTGCAGAGAGGCCCCCCCGCCCTCTGAACTCCGGGTCCAGGGCAAGATGACAACCCGCCCCTCGGACCCTGCTCCAAGCAGGAAGTCGCTCATTACGCGCCTAGTGACAGTCCAGCTTCCTCTCATCTCAGAGGAGCCGTAGGCCGGGTGCCCCCCCTAACAAATAGCTCTCTGTTTGTTTGAAAGATCCTTGTTGGCACCGCGGACTGTTTTTCTCCAGAAAACAAATGGCTTTGATGCTGCTCAGCCTTGGGAGTATGAGCATCCTGTGGTTCTTCACGTGGTGCTGCCACGCACCCTGGGTGGTTTTCGGAGGACAGCACTGCCTTGAGCCCTGCCCACCCCCCCAAACGCACCCCCGGCTCCCTGGCGGCAGCCCCAGGGCCTTTGCACAGTTCCTAGGACACCCAAGCGCTTTCTCGCCTTCCCCGCCCCTTTGCTCAGCTGGCTCCTTTATGACAGTTACCCCTCTTCATACTCCTTTATTTCTTTGTCCAAGTGTTGGTTTTCATCCCGCCCACCAGCCTTGGAGCTGCCAGTGGGCGAGGGCTGCGTGTGCACGGGCTGCGTGTGCACACCTCCGGTGCGCCGTCCATCCTCGCCGAGAACCGGCGGGAACCGGCGTGTGAGAGGAGCATGCTTGGAGTCAGTCACGCACAGCGTCACAGCCGCCACTGAGGGACAGTGGTCAGGGCGGTGGCAGAGCCCAGCGAGTCCCTGGTTCCCAGGGTGGCTCTCCGGGCACTGCCCTCTGCCAGCCCCGGAGTTGGTCCGGTGCTGAGAGCCAACCACCTGCACTCCTGGCCCCGGTCACCATCCCCTCTGGGTCTCTTGTCCCTCCTACACCGGGGTCTTTTCCTCACTAGGAAGTCCCTAGGGAGGGGGCAGTGATGAGTGATGTAACCAGGGTGACAAGTGCGAAGAGAATTCTGTCCCTTTGTGTGGGCTGCCGGGAACCAAGGATTCGGACTGTGCCGCATGC